TGGTTACCTGATGCATGTGCTTTTTATACCTAGTCTTATGTTAATCTGTTGGCCTCAGAGCCACTCATAATGTTGCCCTATAGCTGTTACCCTATGGGATTGAAAGGTGTTAAAATTATCATAAAAGGTTACTACCCAAACTTGGGTTTATCCAATAAGCAAATTATGATGCAGCACCTTTAGGTTTGAAATTGACATTGCCCGGCCTACGCCCCAACCCCTTTTAGGCTTCATATGAATATGCTTTCTTGGGACGTTCTTTCCTGGAATGTGTTGGGTGTGCCAGGCAGTTAGATCCAGTTTTATCATCAAGGCTGAACCCTGAGCAGAAACCATTAGATCAGCTAATCTCACAGCTACAGCTTTGCCTATGGGGCCCAGTCAGTTCCATGAACAGTTAATTTATCATTTTGGTTAAACTTATGACAGACAAGTTACATTTGTGGTTTACAAAATTACAAGCTTTATATTAACTAATATTACCTGTTTAGGCAAAATACCAAATGCCTCCAAGAAGCACATTTTATTGCTTATTAATCCCTCTGGTTCTGGCCGTCACACTCCCCACAGAAACAAATAGCAAACAGCAAGTCCAGCTAACCAGGGGTAAAGTCCCTGATACAGTGCTCCAGGATAGCAAAGGCTGAACGTTGTCCTCTCATTGCCAAACAGACACATAGCCAGCACTCCAGGATCTGGCTCAGGCAGAAGGCAGAACAAAATGGCACTCACTAGACTGACTAGTTCAGAGCGCCACACTCAAGAGTCCAGCTATGGCTCAGCTCGCATAGAGAGAAGCAGTATTTCTGTATTGGAGGAGGCTCACCTGGAGAAGTGAATAGGGGCAGCATCCACACAGTATTTAAAGGATGTCCCTGCCTCTCCCTGTCCCAGTTCATAACCTAAAGATGGCGTTGGCCCCCATTTTTTGCTCCTGGATTCTCACCTGATCAAAGGTGCTATGGGCTGCCACACTATCTATTACTGGCCAAGAGACTGGCCACTGCTGTCAGTACAGACCTCTTAGTCACCTCTGACTTTGTTCCCTTCAGCCTAAACTACCGTGTTGCGTTGTGCTTGGGGCTAGTTACTGCAGGAAGTGACTGCTGAGAACTGCAGCCCTGTACAAATGCAGAGTTCATGTGCTGAAGTCTCTGCTCTGCCTTCTTGTTTGCTAGCAGGTGCAGTTCATGGGTCAGTGATCATCAGTTAAAGTCTTGGTTCCCAGACTGTTCTTCCCGTAATTTTCAGCACTGCAAAGATCAGTTAAACAGCATTTACAACTGAAGTACCCACAAGCTTAAACACTTCAGGTCAGATCTTCAGCTGACAGAAACTGGCCTAGTTCAACTGAAGTCCAAGTTCTATCACTTTACACCCTCTGAAGATCTTGCCTCCGTATAGCCAGTGGCAGGGCCGTCTCAGCTGAAATGCCCTCTCTTTAGAGAACTGCCAGTGTCCAACAGCATGCAGAGGAGGAGAACAAGCTGTGTAACCACGGGGATTTTCTATTCTGTTGACCAGGCAGGCTGTGATCCGAGCCCATCGAGAGCAGCTGGATGAAATGGCGGCCTTGCGTCTGCAGGAAGAGTGCTTGCTTAGGCAGGTGGCAGAAGTGGTAAGTGTCCAGTGCTCGTGGAGCACATGTAAATGTCTCCCAGTGACACCCCGTCACCAGCTCCTCCTCGGTCCAACTGCCAGTGCTCCCAGCATCCGCCTTGTCCCTCCTGTTGTGCCTTTGCTGCTCTCCACCCTGCCCAGCCCTTGGCTGGTGGGAGAGGCTGACAGGCCAGCTCTGAGCAATTTTATACCTTCACCTTATCTTACCAGGGATCTCAGACCACTTGGAGTGGTTCCGTGTCTCCCAGGAAGCTTTGTCACTAGTGTCTGGGTTGCAATACAGTCAGTAAAAGAAAATCAGTGCACCCATAAGACACGGGTGCTTCCTCATGCATAGATAGTGAATCCCTGGTGACTTCCTAATCACCTTCTTCTCTGCTAAGTGCTTAGGAATGGATTCCTTGAGGATCTGCTCCATGATTTTTCCAGGGACTGAGGTGAGGCTGACTAGTCTGTAGCTCCCTGGATTCTTTTTCTTCCCTTTCTTAAAGATGGACACTATGTTTGCCCCTTTCCAAACATCCGGGACCGCTCCTGATCGCCATGAGTTTTCAAAGATGATGGCTTTCCAAGATCATGCTTCGTGTATTGTCAAAGCCAGTTTAATTCCAAATACAAATTGCAGGCACTGCTGCAGCGGGGTTTGCCTCAGGGGACTCAGACTGGCAGCCACGACATGGCAAGCCTGTTGTGTTTTCTAGTTGACAGCCCTGTACCTGAGACTCCTGGTATGCGCTAAACTTGATGCTTTGTTCTTGAACAGTGCATCCGGGATGTTTGGGAAGGGGCAAAATAAGCCGTACAAATACTCCATTAGTTCAGCAAGCCTGCACTGACGGCAAAGGTGGACTAGAGGCATTGTGGCAGCCCTTGGTTTTTGTAAAGCTTAAGGTTTTATCCATCTTTTCTATCCTCGGTGGAGAGGGACTTGAAATCTAGTCATTTGCCTCTGTGTGGCAAGGAAGAATCTTTCCCTGGTATTAATGGAGAATTAAGACATCATTTTTTCAACACAAGTTTTTAGCACTTATACAGTGCAAAGACGATTTGCCAAACAGGATGTCATCTGGAGTCTCCAGCGGCTCTGAGCTCACTTGGCCCTTCACAGAGCTGCGGCAGAGCGAAGTTAATAGGACTGGTCTGTGCTTCCAGCCGCAGGTCAGAAGGCTGAGGGGGCAGTAAAGCCCCTGGCAGATGTTACACTTCAGGCATCATTAACCATGTCTTAAATAGCAACTTGACCACGCATTCATGCAATAAAACAGGAAATAAGCCACATTATTAAACAAATTTTGGGTAAGAACTTTATGGCTGGTTCCCATCACGCCTTAAATTGAATGTGTGGCCGGGCACCCGCTGATCAGGGCTCCCAGCCTCGGGGGCACATCAGACCCTTGGCTCCCATGTGCCCCCAAGGTTGGGAGCAGCAGTTAGCTGATCCGGGCTCTCAGGACTCTTGCAAGAAGTGCTTCATTCCCCTTCAGGGTCAGGACCTCCCTAGGAAATACTGTTATGCTGGGACCAGGATGAGAAACCTGCATTCCTTGCCTGCTTCTGACAAGCAGCTCTTCTCCTCAGCACTCGCAGGCTAGGAGGATGAGGTTCCCCATCCCCACTCCCCCGTTCCCCAATGCTGACTGTGTTGATCTTTTTTCCTCGCTAGGATTTTGAAAACTTTGTGAGCAACCTGGATGAAATCCTGATTCTGAAATCCAAGTGCATCCAAAGCATGCGAGCCCAGCTTCAGCTCTACTTGGCCTGTCCCAGGGCCAACTCCACGCTGCAGAGAGCTACGTCATCTTAGCCCACCCGCGGCTGCATCCATGCCAGGCTTTCAGCAGTTGTGGAAGCAAGCAGCTGTGGTAGCAAGCAGCTGTTGTTTCACCTGGGGGTGTCAGGTATTCTGCAGCAAACAGGAGGGCTGGGTTGGGGTTTGCTGTTTTGTTTGGCGTGTATTTGTAATGTGCACTGAGAGATTTGTAGGTAAATGAATGGTCTGAGGACCTGATGGAAGCCCAGAGCGTTGTGTTTCTATATGGTGTCTTTATACGGTGAGACCACGTGCTTCAGAGCAATAACTCGGCAGCCTTGTAGCACGCAGCGCAGCAACAGGGTTCACAGAGAACGGGATTCACACCAGTCAAAGGCACTTCTATGCTGCCAGAAAATAACTGAGCAAGAGAAAGTGCTTTGAAAGCCTACAAGTCAGTGAAAAGAAAGAATCAAAAGCTTTCCAAGAAAACAGCATTCGTCCAAGGCGAGGAAATGGGAGGGAACAGCTGCTTCGAATAAATAAGGCGGCAAATTTTTAATAAAAATTGAGACAAGATGAGATTGGTTTGTATCTTTACTGCTTCTGGAGAGAGCTCAGTACTAACGCCCCTAAGGGCAATGGGTCAGCAGGTGGAGGTACAAGAGGACATGCACTGGAAGTTCTCTGGACAATTGTGTTGCTTTTCTGCCAGCTGCTCTAGAGGGTCTTCACTGACCAGCACAAAAGGTGTCTAGCTGTACCCTGCTGCAGCTCACTCTGCCATGCCCCATTTAGGTCAAACCTAGATGTCCAGAATTGATTTTCCCCATCGGATGCAGCTGTGGGAACCTCCAGTTCCTGAGAATTGGGTCTGGACGCTTGTTAGCACCCTTGGTCCCCAGCACAGGGAGCTGGACCTAGAACAGCCAAGCTATTAACCACACCCCTGCAAATTCGCTATGGATGGGGCCCACCTGTATCCCGTTCACAAACCGCAAGCACATGCAACCAGCCAAAGCCATAAGTGACCTTAAAGAACGTGCAGCTAAGATCAGGTGCTTGAGGAGCAATCACGTTCAGCTTTGTTCTCACAGCATGCCCATTGCCAAGGTGCACGTATCCAGAGCAGCCTGATCAAAATACCATGGGTAGCTATAAATGCCAGGGGGCAAAGAAACACAGTGTCCTCTGAGAATCTGGGAACTTCCAGTCCTCTACACCAAGAAGCCTGGGCCCACAGCAGGCACCAACACAAGTCCCCACAACCTTTCAGCTTCTTTCACATGAGCTAGAGGTTTGGGACTCTGCAAAGGGAACAGCTTCAGTGCCATGCTCAGGAAGAGAAGAGAAAATCAAAGCAACAAGAAATGATGCAGCAGCTCTTCAGAGAGCTCCATCCTTTTCCCCGGCAGGTCTCTGTCCCACAGCCCAGTGGATTATCCTTGGGAGCTGAGCACCCGGTCATTCATTCCAACCTCCGAGTTACCGTCCTTGAGCCGATTCCAGATTAACAGGCAACATAAATCACACCTAAAGTCAGCAGGAAACCTGCTGGCCTTCCACTGCTTCTCTTCTCCTCAAAGGAGCAAGCCACTAGAAATGGGGGGAGAAAGCACCCGTTTTATATCCTGGCATCATGTCATGCCTCAGATGTATTTGTTGCTAGCGAAGCTGAGGCAGACTGGACATGGGGACTCCAGACAGCAGGGCTGATCTGCAGTTATAATTCCTTTGTGGTGAGAAGGGAAGTCGCACTGAATTCTTCTGTGAAGTCAGCGACTTTTGACTTTCCTGTGCTTGCAGCGAGGCCAAGCTGCAGCAGATGAGCAGTCAGTGACTTGCTAGGAGCACAAGCCATTAGATACCAATATCCTGCAGTAGTTTCCAGGCCCCCTCTTAGCACAGTGGTAGGATTCAGGTGTCTGAAGTGCTGCTACTAGCTGGCAGGTCAGCATGGAACTAGTGAAAGGAGGTGGGAAGGGAGGGGGCTCCTCTGGCCGAATGTAAGGGGTGGCTAGAAACAGGTGGCAAAATGCAGCATGGGAAGCAGAGGGGCTTTGGAGACACCGCTCGTTTTGGAATCCGGTACCAACGCAGGGGAAGCAGTTCTGAAGATGGACTCGGCAGAGCCCAGAGCTGAGTGTTCACAGGGAGACCAGTGATTTATTGAAGGCGACTCTTTCTATATGTGCAGCATAAAACCCACCTGGCCATTTGATCACCATGCAGCTGGGAGCATGCCGACAAATGGGGGAACCCTCCATCTGTCGAGGAGGTGGCAGCCAAGTCAGAGGCAGGGGGTTTGGCATGCAAGCAGCGCTGCTGCATCATCCACCTCGCTCCTGCAGCAGGGAAGGGATTACGGCTGGGAAGCCCCTGCCTCTGCGTGCCTTTCACAAGCCAGGTGCACCTGCACCCTGGGAGCCTGCAGAACTGTAGAGAAAAAGCCGCCTGATGTTACAGGGACAGCCAGCAGCTTTCTCCAGCTGGGTCAAAGGAAGTTACCTCATTTCTGGGACTCACACAGGGTTGAGGGGTGCGGCGCTCCCCTGCCTCATGCAAAGGACTGGGACAAGATGGAGAAACTGAGGCACTAAACCTGGAAGCACGGATGCTTTAGGTTACATATGAACAACGATGCCATCAAAGGAGTGAATACCTTTTTGTTATCCCAGCTGGACTCCAGTTACAAAGGAAACCAGGACCATGACCACACAAGCTACCGTCAGAAGCACTCGTCTTCCACCCAGGTCTTCCGCCATTACTTGTGTGCGCAAAATAATTTAGCTAAGCTCTGCCTCTGCTGCTACCGGAGCCTGGTTTTGTGTGGGTCTATGAATGGGGTGGGGAACTCCTGGCTGGGGTTTGGGGGCAACATTGTGAAGTCTGAACAGAGCCTGACTCTGTTCAATGATGCAAACTAGGACCTGAAAGTCACTTTGTATCTGAGTGCAATGCAGAGCCTTAATAATATACCTAGGAGACCTTGGTGGGGAGAAGGGGGGGTGGTGTTTGCTTAGTTTACTGTATTTAAATTAAAATTACATCTACTACGCAAGGCTCTGGTCAAGAGTGTCTGACCCAAAGTGGGGAACTTCCTGTGGGACAAAGGGGTAGAAGTCAGCCACACCCCACAGCCTGCACTTCCACGGGCACCTGGATCCAGCAGCATGACTCCGGCCTTTTAAATAACAGAACGTGTAGCTAGTGGCACCTCCAGGGAGTCTCACCAGCCCCATGGAGAAGGGGCATCTAAGCTTTCACAGCAACAGCATTGAACTTGCTGAGGGGTTCAGTATGCTATTCTGAGGCAGGTAAAAGGCAGGATAGATTTGCACCTTCTAGGCTAAATCAGAAATGAATGGCAGAGCCTTGAACATGCAGGGAGATGACCACCCACCTCCCCCGCAGGAAAGCTGGGGCGGGACCAAGGCTAGGACCCTTGTCTGCTCCCAGGTGCATCACGTGGTCCATACTGCATGGAGGGGTCAGTTAGTACAACGGGAGGTAGCTGCATGCATGCTCCTGAAAGGATTCAGGTGGACAGTGGCACTGATGCTTGACACCCCCTACAAAGGCCCCATTGCACAGCCAAACATCTCCCCCCAGCAGGATGGGGCTTCTAGGCTTTCACAGCCATAACACTGAACTTGTAGAGAGGCTTGGTGTGTTAATCTGAGACAGGCAGAAGGCAGGGTAGGTTTGCACCTTCTAGACCAAGTAAATCAGAAGTGTACAGCAGGGCCTCAAGTTCACTTCCTCAGCTGCTGTGAACACATAGCCTCTGAGCCACCACTTACTGCAGGAGTTATTGGTGTGGGTGTGCTGCATAGGGAGGGGAGGTCCAGGAGCAAGACATGGGTCTCCTGCCTGAAGTGAACTTCCTGGTTACAGGCCAAGAAACCTTCCTTTATTTCTCTCCTAGCTCCTCCACTGCCCTTTCCTCAGGTTTTTGGCCCAAGAGCCAGGATTGAGCAGCAGGAGAAGCTGGGTAGGGGAACACGTGGGAGCAAAGTCTCACAGAAAAAATGGAGACACACTGAAGGAATCCTAGATTAGCTGTTTTGTTTCTAGTACAGCTTGCCAGATACCCGAAATGGCAGATTTATTTCACAGACATCATTTATCTCCCACTCCCCGCCAGCAAACTGGAGCCAGCCAGTGCCTGGGAGACTTCTTGACAGCAGAATCCATTCCTTGCCTCAGTCACTTCAAAGCAATTGTAAAGGTTATGCTCGTAGCCGCTGCGAGCTAGCACGCATGGCTCAGATCACCCTGCTCCGTTTCACTGTTACCCACCTGACAGCAAACTGCCCAGGACAACAGCTCTGGATGGCACGAACTGTCCATTCATCCAGACAGGGATAATTTAAAACAAGATTAAATACGACAGATTAGGTTTGCAACATCTGCCGAGGCCGAAGCACACAGGATGGCAGGGCTTCCGTTTTAGGGTTTTATTAGTAGTTCTGCAGAATCAAAATATTTAGCAAATTACTTTAAAGGATTCATCAAGACTGTTTATATTTTATGTATTTAGATTTTTAACAATGTACAACATAATACACTTTGTACTATCAAAAACAAACCCCAAACTGATTTCTATTACTAGATGTTAGAGTATGTCATTCTACAGCAGTGTGAAAGAGAATGGAACTAACGCAGTGAGTATATTGTTTTTAAAAGAAAGTGCTTGAAAGAAACCTCCTGCTTCACACTGAATATTATTTTTAAAAAGTTGATTTCCTAGAAGGGCATTTGTTTAAATACCCTACAAACCTGGGGGATTGAGAACAGAGCCCCAGCTCTCACCCCATCAGTTCAAGAACCAACTGCTGGTCCAGATCCAGGTGCAGTTCACAGCTTACCTGTTCGGACAGAAATCACACACCACTCAAGCATTGGAGACTTATGCTTGGCAGAACTGGTTGCTGCAAGGGCCAAAAACAACCCCAAAAACCCAAGAGGAGGAGGAACAGCTTCTCTTTTTGATGCATAGTGACAGTTCGGGAACCAGTGTTTCACTAAGTTGCAGACTAACTTTCAACCCAAAATAGCCAAGGGAAAGACCCATTGCACTCGAGGTCAGACTCCAGTCAGACTGCGGTACAGTCAGTGCTCCAGTATAAGCAGACACCGTGAAAGCAGCTTCAAAGAACCAAAGCATCCTAGTTTCAGAACCAACTTTGAATTCCTGTCCAAATCCAGTGCAACAAAAGGAAAAAAAAAAATCCTAGCTTTGTCTGACTATGTACAGTTCCAGTAGAGGTTGGGCAGTCTAAGCTCTCCGTGGCCAAGCTGGAAAAGGAAACTTAGGAAAGGGCACTTAAAAATTTAAAGACAGTTGGCTCCCAGCAGTGGGGAGAGAGCTCTGGAGCGATGTGTGCTGGGCTCGCTCGGCCGTACTCTCCAATGGACATGGCAGGCAGGGCTTCCTCCCAAACAGCAAGTCACTCTCTGGATGAGGTGGCAGGGGTCTGGTGACAGGGGCTGGCCTCCTCCCCCAGGAGGCATGCTCCGTTATGCTCCTGGAAGCCAGGGATATGTTTTCAGCTGGCTCCTGCACGGGCCATTAGATCTTCCAAAGCATTGTCCTGGTCATTGTTATGTAATAATAAGACCTCCTTAATGTCTTTCACTTCAAAGCCCATTTCTTTAAATTTACTCATTAGCTGGAGAAGTTCTGTTGTCTAGAAGAGACAAAGAGAGACGGTCAACGTTGGGAGGAACAGTACAGTTTAAGGAAGGACTTGCTTTGATTTGGGCGATACTCTCAGGTCCCGAGAATAGTGCTGAGCCTGTCTCCAGACATGAGCTAGAACAAAAAGGCCAATCATCACATCATTCCCACAGGCACGAGCTTAGGGAGTTGGAGCTCCACTTGCAGAAGAACTTGCACCCAACAGCGTGGCGGCTCTTCGCCGAAGCCAGCAGGCAGTAAAATGGCCACACAAACACCTCTGCAGCCTACAGTGCATGTGTTAGACATCCCAGCGTGCCATCCCGTGTCTGGACCCAGACGGGCTTCAGTTCAAATAGCCTCCAAGACCCTCCTTCTCAGAGGCCACCCAGCAGACCTCCCCTTGCACGTCTGGCCACTGGTATTACGCAAGCTAAACAGGACTAGTCTGGAACGCCCAGTGGCTGGGGGTGTCCAAACCCTTCCCCCTTTGCTTGCAATTTTGTAGCAAGGAATGAAGTGACCACATTTGCTTAGAAGATGAAAAGGCGCTCAGGGCTGAGCTGAGGAGCTGTAATGGCCCTGGCTGTCACACAGCTCTCAGAAGTTGGTGGAATCAGCCCAGTTCCTGAGCCTAGGTTGCTATTCGCCACTGCACCACCCCAGCGGGGATTCCTGGCCCACTAACTCCCCTGCTCTCCTCCACCATACTGCAGCCTTTCTTTAAGTAGAGGTACCCAAGGCAGGGACCGTTTCCAGGGTCTGGGTGAAGCCATTAGTGACAAAGTTTGGGCCAGAGCTTCAGGAGGAACTGAGCGGCAGTTTCTTCCTGAAGCAAAGGCCACCCACCCCAGTTCTCCCCTGCTTGCCCCTCTGGGAGCCCGGCCTGCTCAGGCACCCTGCCAAAGCCCAGGGAAGAGGTGGGGAGGCAGCATGGAGCAGCAGAAGTGTACATGCGTGGCAGGGAGGGACCAGCTGTCTGTATGCAACACCTGGATGGGGACAGGCAGAATGCCCAAAGCTCATGTGAGGGTACAATCCTGCCCTAGATGCATGTGCCAGGAACTTTAGAGAGAAATAATCTTTGCAACCTGGACAAGGAGGCCAGCTTTGCCCAGCAAGCATTAGCAGGATGGCTTTGCTCCCTAGGGTCTGCCGTTATAACAGATGTCTGAGATCTGCTGCAGCTGAAATCAGCCCTCTGTGACAGGAGCTCTGCCAGAGCCTCAAGGCTTCAAGTGAGGCAACTAGAGCAGGCGAGAGGCTCAGCCGACACAAATGTGGTGCAGCAGCAAAGCAATTTCTGAATCTGGGCAGGACTGCTCCCGAGCCAGAGGTTCTCCATGCGTTTACTTCCACGGGCAGAGGCACAGTCTGGAAATCACCACCAAAGAAAAATCCTTCTGCACAACAGCCTTTCACCTTCCTGCTCCCCCTCCCCCCCACACACACGTTACTTCCCCCTCACCCTGTACCAGGACAGCCTCACCTTTTCCTCTGAACACTGGTGCATTTCCAGAGCTGCTTCGACCAGCTGGGGATCAAAGCCCTTCTCACACAGCTGCCCATGTGCAAACAGGTAATCCAGGACCTGCAGGGAGAGAGCAGGGTCAGCAGAGCGGCCCCGGGTACGTGGTGACCCAAGGGCCACGTCATGTCTGATGCGCGACAGCCCTGGGTCAAGACACATCTGTCTTGTTGCTCGTGACCCCCAAGCTTCTCGCCTGCAGTTCTCTACATGTAACACCCGTAGTGACCCCCGAGCTTCTCGTCTGCAATTCTCTACATGTAACACCCGTATTACAGACAGTGCCAGGCCCCAAGGCGGGCTGGGAGAATTAGCTTTAAGTCCAAGATTCAGTCTGCCAGGAAGTGTGGCACCACATCTGGGGGCCCCCCACCAGGGAAGGGCTCTCACCTGGTCTATGCTCCGTCCTTTCTTCTTCATGGCTTTCATGACATCCTCGTAAGAGTATCCCATGTTGACAACCATTTCTACGCATTGCCTTTCACTGGGAGACAGGGCCTGCGGGAGCTCCGAGGAAGCAGAGCCACTGGACCATTTGGTGCAGCTGCTGTTACTGGGCACTTTAGACATGGGGAAGTTTTGGTGTGTTACCTAGTAGTGAAAAACCAAGTACAAGCCTTAGTGCATTGAGCTGGCCATTCCCTTCCCTGGCAGAGGCAGGATGATCTGCTCCCTGCAGCCTTCTCGAGGGCGTTATCTGATCTTGCTTTAAAAATTAACCAAGCAACAGAGCTTCCCCGTTTCCTCTGGGAAACTCTGCTGTTGGGATGAACCCGCCAGCACGGAGGAAATGTGTGATAAAACATGTTCCTTGAGGCATCACCCTCTTCCTCTCTCTACTCGGTCATCTGCAGGCAGAGAGAGATAGTTAGCCGTGTTAGTTTGAAGCCAGGCAGAAGGCAGGGCAGCACCTTATTGTTTCATAGTTTCTAGGGTCGGAAGGGACCTGAG